CATCATCATCATGAGCAGCAGAATCATCACCATCAGCATCATCACCATCATCATCACCATCATCATCAACAACAGCATCATCAGCATTAGCAGTTTCATCATCACCAGCAGCATCACCATCATCGTCATCTGATTCATAACAATCGTCGTCGCCAACATCATCATCATCAATATCATCAGCATCCTCATCATCACCACCACCACCATCATCGTCGTCGCCATCACCACCATCAACTTCATCATTATCATCATCATCACCACCAACATCATAATCCTCATCATCATCATCCTCATCCTCATAATCAGCATCAGCATCATCATCACCATTCATAACTCATTTCTGCCGCACCCCGAGGCAGGTCGAAAGGGCGGGTCGGGCGTTTCGCCTGAGACTTCCTCACCATCGATGACCCTGAAGATTCAAATGTGGCATTAGTTTGACAGATGGAGGGCGGGTGGCTTTCAAAATGTGGCTCTCGCCTTAGTGCCGCGCATAATCGTTTTCATCATTTGTAAGAGCTTCACGGGTTGATGGCGGGTCGTTGTTTGTCAAAATGTGGGTCCCGCCTTCGCGCCGCGCACATTCGGTTTAAACGATTGCAACAGTTTCACGGATTGAGGGCGGGTCGTGTTCGACATGTGGCTCTCGCCTTGGCGCCGCGCACACGCGTCGCAAAAAGCTGCAAGAGTACCGCGGATTGGGGGCACTTCCTTCTCAACATGTGACTCTCGCCGTAGCGCCGCGCATATTCGTGTTCAAGCATTGCAAGAGTTTCACGGGTTCCCATGGTTAACGTACCAGAAGTGGTCTTCTGGAGCGATTCTCGACTGTCGGGACGAAATACTTACTCTGATTCGCGGTGTTGAAGGCCCAGGAATAGTGTTCTGGCGTGACTCAGGTTCGTCAAGAAGCAGTAGTCAGGTTTTGGCACGTCCCGGGATCTTCAAACGGTTGTCGTTGGGGCCTATGTCAAGGGAGCTTGGGGGCGGGTTATTCCAACATCGTTGATGAGTCTTCGGTTTACACTGGTCCTCCTCCTCCTCCCCTTCATCCTCCTCCCCCTCCTCCTCCTCCTCCTCCTCCTCCTCCTCCTCCTCCTCTTCCTCCACCCCCGTCTCCTCATCCGACTCCTCCGCCTCCGCCTCCGCCTCCGCCTCCTCATCCTCCTCCTCCTCCTCCTCGTCCTCCTCCTCCTCCTCATCTTCCTCCTCCTCCTTCTCCTCCTCCTCCTTCTCCTCCTCCTCCCCATCATTAACATCTTTACGTTGCATGGCCTTTGCCTATGGAAGGCGAGCGTGTGAAGGCGTCGAACGGCGGGGGGGGAGGAAAACAAGCATACAAGATGTGAACGACGTGAGCGTATTCTCCCCTCGGAGTTGCTCCTCCTGCCCCTACTCGAATTACTCCTCCCACTGCCCATTACCCTCACAATTACAGTGTGGGCTGATTGGAGAGGGCACGCGAGAGGACACAAGACCCCTCCGAGGGCCACATTGTCACAGGAATGTAGAAGGCATGGGTCGCGAATCACAGGACGCAAGGGTACCCTTGATTTGGCAGGGTCGAACTACTCATCAACCTCGGCTATACAACAGATTGGCGAGGCAGCCTCCTTCTCGGCGCTGAGCACGGCGTCGAAGGCGCTGACCAAAGCCTTCTTGAAGCTCAGCATGCCATTGAACCTCCACGCGCGCCCCTCCTCGAAGCTCGCCAGCGGCGGTGGTCGCGGCGACGACGACTGCACCGATCGCTGTGCTGAATACCGTCGTCGTCTGCCTAACCGGTCTGTCCGCCCCGTTAGACAACGGCGGGAGCCCGATATCCCAATTCACATCCCCACAGAAACTCAGCCTACATTTCCTCGTCGTCGTCGTCCTCCTCCTCCTCCTCATCATCATCATCAGTATCATCATCATCATCAACTTCATCAACTTCGCCATCATCAGCAGCATCCTCATCATCATCCTCATCAGCATCATCATCAGCATCAGCAGCACCAGCACCATTATTTCAAAAATACGCACGATAATACTATAAGTGTTCCTCATGTTGCTGTTCCTCATCCTTTTCCTGTTCGGCCTCCTCATCCCCTGAGCTCTTTGTTATCCCGTTCCTGTCCATCATCATCCTCATCATCATCATGACGCTGTTGCTCCTGGATCGCTCCCCGACCAAGACTTCGTGGCGAGTTCAGTTCATCATCTCCATCTTCAGAATCATCAGCAGCAGCATCATCATCATCAGCAGCATCATCATCAGCGTCATGGTCATCATCATCGTCATCCTCATCGTCATCGTGATCGTCCTCGTCCTCGACATCAGCAGCAGCATCATCATCGTCCGCATCGTCCGCATCATCCTCATCCACGCTGGCAGCATCACCGACATCATCGCGAGCATCTAGATGCCGTCGACGCATTCATCATCACCAATCCTCATCACCATCATTATCATTGTCATCATCATCATCATCATCATCATCATCATCATCATCATCAT